TGCATTGTGTGTCATGTCAATCTGCAAAGCAACCAGCTTTATCTTTTTCGAGTAGTCATTCTCATTCTACTGCTCCTTTTGATCTTGTGCATTCTGATGTTTGGGGTCCATCTCCTACACCCACCATGGGGGGTTCCAGGTACTTCGTGTTATTTATTGATGATCATACTTGTTTTACCTGGATATACCTTATGAAAAGTCGCTCTGAATTATCACAAATTTATATTGATTTTGCTACCACGGTCAAAACCCAGTTCTCTAAAATTATCAAAGTTTTGAGAACTGACAATGCTACTGAATATCTTGGTACTAAATTTCAATCTTTTTTGAAAGAACAGGGTACACTGCCACAACAATATTGTCCTTATACTTCTGAACAAAATGGGCGAGCCGAACGCAAACATAGACACATCCTTGATTCTGTTCGTGCTCTGCTCATTTCATCCTCTTGTCCAGAGCGATTTTGGGGTGAGGCTGCTCTTACAGCTGCTTATCTTATTAATCGCATCCCATCATCAGTCCTTAATAACCAGTCTCCATATGAGCATCTTCATGGTATTCTTCCTGCTTATAATCTTCTTAAGGTTTTTGGTTGTGCATGTTTTGTTCTTCTTCCACCTCATGAACATAACAAGTTAAAACTTAGAGCTCGATTATGCTGTTTTTTGGGTTATGGGATTACACAAAAAAGATATCGTTGTTGGGATCCTGTGTCACAAAAACTCCGAGTTTCACGTTATGTTGTCTTTTGGGAACACACTAAGTTCTCATCATTGTCAAACTTCAAAGTGTCATCTTCTCATCAACCTCCATTTTTTACTAATCATTCTATTGAGCTATTTCCTAGTGATTCTAATGCAGGTACATCTGATGAGCTCTACAATGCCTCACCACATGCTCCAACCAGTTCTGTAGAAGATGATCTGCCTTCTGGTAATGCATTAGATAATTTTGAGCCTTCTTCTACTTCCTCGTCTACAAATGAGCTTGTTGTCCCATCCTCGAGTCATCCTACTCGGGTAAGAAAGCCTCCAAACTATCTTCGTGATTATCATTGTTTTCCTGCTATTATTTCGTTATATGAGCCTCAATCTTATCAAGAGGCCTCTTCTAACCCTTTTTGGCAACAAGCTATGCAAGATGAATTACAAACTCTTGAGAACACTCGTACATGGGATTTAGTTAATCTCCCTGCTGAAAAATCTCTAATAGGTTGTAAATGGGTGTACAAGATCAAAACATGATCTGATGGTTCTGTGGAGCGTTATAAGGCACGCTTGGTTGCCAAGGGTTTTACATAGGAGTATGGAATCGACTATGAAGAGACATTTGCTCCAGTTGCTCGTCTTACATCTGTGCGCAGTTTGCTTGCTATCGCTGCTATACGGAGATGGAAATTATTTCAAATGGATGTGAAAAATGCTTTTCTTAATGGTGACTTAGAAGAAGAAGTTTATATGAAACCACCTCCTGGGCTCCACCATCCTCCAAACAAGGTATGTCGATTGCGCCGAGCATTATACGGGTTGAAGCAATCCC